AAGTTCCCTGATGTGTTGATATGTGGTGGCTGTCTCCGAATGCGTGATGAAGACTTCAAGCCAACGTGCTAGACATTCGGCCCTGGTCATTTGCGGGGCTGTCAATGTCTCTCCGGAGGCAGTGTCAAGCATCAGCCGAAGCATGCCTTCGACTAGACTCTGCACCAGAGGCTCGTCATGCGGATCGATTGCAACCGCTGGCTGCATTGCTGGTTCGACCCCCTCGCTCCCAGAGTCGCTGTTGCTGTCGCCCGGTCCGTGAGCCGAGCTTGAGTTGGAGGGTAGGTGAGTGGCCTCACCTGTATTCATGTGGTTCTTTGCATCCTCCACCACAGCAGCAGCCGGCACTTCAGGTTGAGGGGCATTGGATGCTTCTGGCCACAGCCTGCGCCTGCGTCTGGTCACGCCGGCTCTGCCGTTTGGCAACATGAGCAAGCAGACGCATATCAAAAGCCGCAGAAAAGCCATGGCGCTTGACTACAAAACGTCCGAAGGGGTCCGGTTTAAACGGAGCAGTTCGGAACCCGGGCCCAGGTTAAGCACTTACGACAGCTAGGCTTGCACGTCCTCGCCTCTCGGTCGGCCGACCTCAAGGTCGAGGGAACTGCACAACTACCCCCCCACCTGCTACAAACAATACGAGCCAAAGTGCTTTATTTCTGAGTGCCCTTTTGTACGTGACAAAAGCACTAACATGGACAATCAAGCACATGGCATTCTGTGTTTCTCTCATCTGGTGGGCGATGAACTAAATGTCCTGATGCTTGCGAGCGAGAGGCGTGACAAAATTCTCTCTAGGTCCTGCATTGCACAAATTTAAACAACATTGATATATTATCCATGAATTTCGTGCTCCCAGCCACATGGTTTGAAAAGCATGGATTTTTTGGAAAACATTGGCCCGACGTTTTTTCGGCTCCATCCTTCAAAAATTGGTAAAACCAATGTTATCCATGAATTTCGTGCTCGCGGCCACATGGTTTGAAAATCATGGATTTTTGGAAAACGTCGGTTTTACCAATGTTTTTCGGCTCCATCTTTCAACAACATTGGTAGAACCAATGTTTTCCATGAATTGCGTGATCTGAGGCTCTCTCCCAGCCACCATTTCTCGAGGAGGTACACAAAAACAAAACTCGAATCCTGCAAAATCTCGAGAGAGTACCAAAACCTCCATATAATCAATCACGCCCCAATACGCAAGGCATGACATCTATCCTAAAAACTATACCTTAGCTAGGATGTCTCAAGCAATCATCCCCCAATAAGCAAAACCTAATATCTCTACTAAACACTGTACCTTAGCAACATATTTTAAGACATCACGCCCTAAGGCCCCTACCAATTTAATAAGGCTCCTATCAATTTAAACAGGGTTCTTATTCATGTTACTGGGATTCGCAAAGGGTTTTTTTATTAATTTTAAGGATTCGGCTCATACTAGTTTAGTAGGGTTCCTATTAGTTCTCGTACAAGGATTCTATTGTTTTGCAGGCCTATTGGTTCCTATTCATTTTAGTAAGATTCCTTCTCGTTTTAATAGGATTCCTGTGAATTGTAACCCGGGTTCTTTTTGATTTGTCAAGGGTTCCTATTCATTTTAATAGGCTTCCGTCCTATTAACTGCTATGCGGCTCCGATAATTCAATAGAGGATCCTAATTATTTTAATAAGGCTCCTACTCATGTAATAAGATTCCTATCAATTTTCATCAGATTCTTGTTCATGTTAATGGGATTCGTATTAATATCTCAATATTTATAGGGATCTCATTCACTTTAACGGGGTTCCTATTGGTTTAGGCTCATGTTCATTTTAGTATTTCCAAGGGTTCGCCTTATTTTTTATAGGAGTCCGATTGGTTCGTATTAATTGGAGTAGGGTTCCTCTTCAATTTAATAGAATTCCTATTAATTCTACGAGGATTCTCATCTTTTTGTGAGGCGCCTCCAATTCATTTTAAGAGGCTTCCTATTGACTTTACGGCTCCGATTAATCTAAAATAGGGTTCCTACGGATATAAATAGAGGATTCCTCTTGTTGTTTCTAGGATTCCAATAAAGTTGGCCCATTTACTTTGAAAACGGGGACAGGACATACACCGTATCGCTGCTTTGTGTTGGTGCACTTGCATGTTGTGCATGACTCGCGATTTTGTTTATATAAAATGCGGCTGCGCTGTGAGAGTGTTTTTGAAATATCTTTAAACAAATAGAGAAAAGTGCACTCCCACAGCGTCCCGGTCTCATTCGAAAATCACCAAGACTTCGAGCCTCTCGGGTCTAGGGCAGGGTTTGGGAGAAAAAAGGCCCGTTTCTGAGCCGGGGGGGGGTTGTTCGACACTGAGGTCCCCGAAAAAGGCTTGGCTTTTATAGCGGGATCCCGCACAAGAGCCCCCAAGACCCATCCCGAAACCCCAATCCCCTAACCCCTAGCTCCCACGCGCTTACCACGTACCTATATAGTATATACTTGGGCCTGAGGTTGCTGCATAGCAGCTTCAGGACCCAAGTATATACCATCAGCCTAAACCCTACACCCAGGCTAATTCTAGAGAGTTGCGTGGACCCTTTAAGGGAGAAAGAGCTACACGCAGGGGGAATCAGCCAGGCCGAGAATTCGGACAGCTCAAGGTGGGGTTTAGGGTTTAGGGTTTAGGGGCTCAGACTCTGGGTTGCAAGAGTCACCGTGCACGTGGTTATCGTGCGGGCGGGTGTGTCAGAGGCTGGGAGAAGCGGTTCAAATTTAGAACAAGGCAGTGCGTCCGAGATGCTCAGGAAGGCATCGAGATTTCGTTCAATGGTGTCCTGGGCTGCTCTTCTTCTGCATGTCCAACAGTCTGGCACCCGAAATCCCGAAGTGATAATTTGGTCTCCTAACGCCGAGCACTCCTGAGCATGAGAAGAGCTTTGCATGAAAAGGGGGTATTTGGAGGTTCAAGGGTAGCTACAAGTAGGGTTATAATTTGTGCGCGTCATTGCGAAGCACCTACAAACAGAATCGTAAGCCTGAAGCCCCTGAACCCTGAACGAACATGGTGCTGTTCCCTTGACATCCCTCAGTGCCAACAATTATGGTTGGTGATTTTGTTCCGAGCCGGACTTAGTCGAGGAACTTTATACCTTGTTTCAATAACTAAGGATCTGTACAAGCAAGGCCCTTCGGTGACTAAGAGGCCAGAACAATTCTGGAGGAGGTGCACGCCGCTCAACAACGCGAAGTTGAGCAGAATTAGCCAACATGGCCCAAAGGCAAGGCTAACCCATACGGTTTACTCGGCGCTCTCTCTGAGTCTGAGCAACTGAGCGCGACTGCACTGTGAACCAGCACATCACCCATACGGTTTAGGGCTTAGGGCTTAGGGCTTAGGGGTTTAGGGGTTTAGGGGTTTAGGGGTTTAGGGGTTTAGGGTTTAGGGGTTTAGGGGTTTAGGGGTTTAGGGGTTTAGGGGTTTAGGGTTTCTTGGTTTTGGGTAACCATGTATTCTCGGAGTCTCAGGATTTAAGAAGTTTTTGGGGTTTCAGGGTCTGGGATTTTGGGTGTCTTGGGCTCTCGGGGCAAAACATCCCGAGCCTTGGTGCCAGGGTGCCGTGTCTTCGTCGCTGCACACCCTTGGCTGCCGCACATTCGGGTTCATGCAATTTAGGGTATAGGGTTTAGGGTTTAGGGTTTCTCAGGACCAGAGCGTTGGAGGTGCAGGAAGCTGTTGAAGTTAACAAAGGAGTGGTCATCGCGAGTCTGAGCCACTGAGCATTCCAACCGCGCGTGCGTAGCTAACTTTTTCAGGACAGTCGCTGGGAAACAAAATCAAACCCTAAACCCTAAACCCTAGACCCTAAACCCTAAACCCTAAACCCTAAACCCTAAACCCTAAACCCTAAACCCTAAACCCAGACAGTAAGACTCTGGCAACGTGCGCGGAATGGAAGCACGCGGCCACCCGTAAACATGCCTCCTACTTACAACCCCAATTATAGCTAATCATGAACCGCCAAGTGCAAGACGATGACAATCTATGAGCCCTAAACCCTAAACCCTGAACCCTAAGCCCTACACCCTAAACCCTAAACCCTAAACCCTAAACCCTAAACAGCCCAGGAACTGCCGCAGCTGCTGCTGCAGCTCGGGGTGCCGTGACAGCGCCAGAAACGATGATGATAGGGAGCCTGACTTGAGGGGCTCATAGATTGTTGTGTGTAAGGCTTAGGGTTTAGGGTTTAGGGTTTAGGGTTTAGGGTTTAGGGTTTAGGGTTTAGGGTTTAGGGCTAGGGCTTAGGGCTACGAGTAGGCCAACTTACAGGGTTAAGGGTTACAGGGTGCGCAGCTGTAGTTATTTAGCTACTCCTAACCCTCCATCTATCTACCCTTGAACCCCAAAGTGCCAACCAGAACTATTGCCGATTTGACGCATGAAGCGGGCATAGCGATGCTGGTATTCACGGCTTTGCAATGTCGCCTGTTGCACGAAGGTCATCTGTCAACTTCCAAGCCTTTAGTCAACCTTCCGGCCATCCTCAAACACCGAAGATGCTTTGCGCAACTGCGGAACTGTGTGAGGTGCGGGGCTCTGTTGGATTAGCTGGCCTGAGGCCCCAAAATATGATGAATTTTGTGGGTGCGCATGGTACGTAGTATTGACCTCAGTCCCGGCAGGGTCAGACAGCCCTATGATTGACCGATTAACATCTCGAAAAACAAAATGGAATTTGCCTTTTGCAGGTGCCCATTGATTTCGGCGTCTGCTCCTTGTAACTAAGTCCGGGCACAAGAAGAACACATCTGATGAGGCGTAAGTGCCCAGCAAAGCCTTCCATGTATTCCACAGTGGAGACACTGGTCCCCAGGAACCTCTGTAACAAATTACATGTAGACTCTAATTTAGAACAACCCCTTCATGCGCCGACGTTAGAGAGGTTTCGCTGTTTTTTCTGTTGATTGCCATTGGTTGTTCAGTCACGTGAACCAGACTGGCTAAGACCAGCTGCAACATGCTTTCTTGATTATTGAAATCCGGAGGGCATGGTCCAAACTGCGTCAAAGATGCTTGCTGTGGTGTCTGTCGCTGCGAAGACCAGCGTGAACACGTTGTCGATGATCTCCTGGCTCAGAAAGACGGGCACACACGAGACCATAAGACAGCCACCCTAGACCCGAAACCCTAAACCGCAGGCTCTCCTGCTCGGTCAAGGACGCTCCGTCCTCGTCCTGTGCGTAGACCAGCCTCGCATCAAGCAGCAATGATCATTTCATGCGAGAGGTTGGAAAGTTCTCTGGTTAGGATTTTTAGGGTTTAAGGGTTTAGGGCTTAGGGTTTAGGGTTTACGGTTTATGGTTTCCCAAGGCAGGGGTTCCCGCTTCAAAATGAAAATCCTTATACTCTAGCAACCCGAAGAAACGATACCAAACCTGGGAAGCCCGGTATAGGAACCCAAAGTTATGACTCGCACGTGTTTCAGGTGCCCGAAATGATGCCTCGGTGGCTGGGCAACCTCCAGCAATACTCCCTATAGTCATCCTAATCCTTCACAGCTCAACAGCTCGGCGGACCCGCTAGTAGCTAGGCGAGGCATGACGCTCAAGGATTTCTCAGGTGGCCATATCTGCATCAGCACTTTGCTGGCCTCTAAACTACCCGCTACCTGGTCACACCACACACACAATCAAAGCCCATCGGCAATGCACATGATAGCGGCAATCCGACATTTCATGGGCTATCATGGGCTTCAACACCTGCCGCGTTTTCTTCAGCCGTAAAGTGAATGGGCGACTTACACAGCTCTGCACTTGTGTCTGGCGACTGATATCTGGATTTTCTGTCCATGCTTGCCCCCGCGCCTGGAGAGCAGTGTGCCGTCTTCTTCGCCGCAAGACTTGAGCCAGCCTGGCGCTGTGCATGATCAGATTCTGGAAGCCAACAGGTCAGACGAGGGTAGCTGGGTCTCTCCAGCCACGGGAAGCGGAAGAGGTCGATGACCATGCTTGAAACAACTTGGAACATCCCCCCTGTTCAACCCCTGGAAGGACTGTTCAATACATGTCACCACGTTTGGGAATGAATCGGACAGGTGGGAGGCAGGGTGTCAAGAGTTCAACCAGCCACTCGTGGATATAGTGGGACCATGTTGTTTTTTAGTACTCAATGCCCTGAACCCTAAACCCTAAACCCTTTTTAAGACTGGAACTGAGGCCAGGGCATAAACCCTTTTTTTCTCCGACCAGGACTGAAGCTGGCGCAATCTCCAATGGAACACTCCAGGCATGCACACTTCTGATTCACAACCAAATTAATGCGCACCCCAGCTGTTTTAGCCAGATGAACTATCGAATCTATGTAGGGCTGTTATGCCCTAAGCCCGAAACTCGACCTTCAAGGGAGAGCGCCCCGAAGGTCTTTACGCCGGGGGGTTAGGGGGGTTTAGGGGGTTTTACATAGTGGTTTAGGTCGGGTAAATCACACAGCACAGATTGCGATCAAACCCGCAGGAGGGGGAGGTTTTGGTGACACATGTGATCTTGAAACTGCATTCAACAGTCGCTCACAAGAGCCAGATGGCATCTGGGCCATAGGCATAAGTTACAAGGCGCTCACGTGCCACGACGGCCCTCTCTGCACTCCATGCCACGCGGGCCCTGCAAACCCTATAAACCCTTTAAACCCCTACAAACCCTATAAATCTGATAAACCCTAAACCCTATTAACCCTATAAATCCCATCAACCCTATAAACCCCATAAACCGAATATCCTATAAACCCGAAAAACCCTATAAAACCTAAACTTGCCCTAATTCCAAAGCCCTAAACCCTAAACCCCAAACCCCAAACCCTAAACCCTAAACCCTACAAAACCTATAAACCCCGAGCCTCGAATCACGTCGGCCACCCTGGCTCTGGCGCGCAGGGCGCGCGCCGCATTGGACCAAGGGATGAAGGTCAGAGGAGGCGACCTCCAAAGCCGCTGCAGTAGGGTTTAGGGTTTAGGGTTTAGGGTTTAGAGTTTAGGGTTTAGGGTTTAGGGCTCAGGGTTTAGGATGTTTGTTGCAACGTTTAGGGTTGTTTGGAAAGCCGGGGGCCCAGCAGGCATGTGTCACTTGATGGCTCTGCGCAGGAAACTTAGGACTTGGCAGCCTGCGTCATCCCTGAAGTTACACGTCTGATGACTTCAACGTGTTGTTGCAAGAGAAGCTGCTTTTAAGTTCGAGCGGGTTAACGTGCCGGGAAACCTCTACCGTCACACCCCCCGGGGGCTGGCACCTAAACCCGATAAAGGGGGAGGGGGAGGGGATTCTGCCATTTCGGCTGAGAGGCAGCAGGCCAGTGGACCAAATCGACACATCCTTGATCAAACTGGTGATGTCCGAGCTGCTCGCCTCTTGGGGGCTCAGGGTTCAGGGGCTAGGGCTTAGGGTTTCCAATCTCTGCGCAAAGCTAACGAAGTGCTAGTTCCTGTCAGCATGGCTCGAACGAAACTAGCAAGCTGAAACAATCTACACAAAGTGCTTAAAATACAAAGCACTAACTGCGTAGTTGGAAAGGGCATTTCTTACTTGCTCAGGCTAACAGTAGTTGTATAAAGACCACAGAACAGGACACATATAACCCAACTTGGAACTACGCATGCACAATCACACGCAACAGGCTCATCGGCTTGGAAAGCCGGACCTGGGTGCCGAATAAGATCTTGAGCATCGTCGTCACGACGGCGGATCGAAGCGTCTCCACCATGGAGAACTGCCTCAAGAGGATTCAGGGGATGAGGGAATTGGGTACCTTGCACCTACATAATAACCTTTCAGGCATTTATATGGGGTACCTCATTCCCTTTCCTACTAAGACTAAGAACCAACGGGGTTTATGATGCCAAGACTCCAGCTCTCCATGATCCAACAGCTTCTACCATCGCCCTCCACAGGCTGTAGAATCTCTGTCTTGCTTTCGCGGGGCCTATAGGGGGCGAGCCCCCTACGAAGTGAGCGCTCTCCCCCTCTCCCTCTTCTCCCCGTCTCCTCCCGCTCTCCCTCTATCCGCTATCCCACTCTCCTCCCCTCTCTCTCTCTCTCTTTCTCTCTCTCTCTCCCCCTCCCACCCTCTCTCCTGTCACAGCGACCTGCTCACTCTCCTCGCCACCCATACTGGCAACCGCGGCCGTCTCATATCTTGTCAGTGGATTTGGCCAAGATACCCAGTCTGGCTCTTGACCTTGGAGAGGAATTCCTTCACACCTTCGCCAAATAAAGACTGGGACCCTTTGAGCACTGGCACGGGGGACCCCTATACCTTTTTTTTTCAACCAGCCTTCTCATCTTCGCCCTGGGGCCACAACTCGCACTCATCCAGCACTGGTGGCCGCGAACAGACAGCAAGCCAAGACCCCTCAAGCCAAGACCCAACCTGCCAGAGACCAAAAGACATCATCATGCAGAGCATGGAACTGCAACAGGGTGACCCTTCTCTCTTCAATCCCTTCTACCACGAATTGAACGGATTCTAAAACCCACAGCCCTGAACGGTAGCACCGAAGGCGCTGAACCCCATTGCATGGCCCAACCTTCATCGATGTTCTCTTGATAGCTTGAGACAGCCTTCGGGATCATCGCTGCCTGCCGCGGGAGTTTACGCGCCCCTCTCTGCACCAGCAAGGAAGAGCCCTCCAAATGCGCAAGAAACTACGAACTGCTAGCAACTACTTCGGGGCTTGGGGGAGCCTATTCTTCTTTTGCAAATACGGCCTAATTACCTCACCTTGACAAAAAAAGGAAGTTTCCGGCATGATTTCCTGGAGCACGGACGCGGCCAGGGTACCTGAATGAGGCGCCTGAGCTTGGTGTGCGGAGGGCCCGACTGCCTGGCGCAGGGGCTTAGGCGGTTTAGGGTTTAGGGCTTGGTTTTCTGCGGTTTCGGGCTTAATCGGTCACGCTCGCATGGACCCCAGAAGCAGTCAGCAGTCAGTAGTCTCTGTTGCAGGGCCCTGTTAGGCTCAGGTGATTCCCTCGGCACGCTAGTCAGGGTTTAGGGTTTAGGGTACAAACCGTAAACCCCAGACCCCCTGATCTGGGTATCTGGGCTCTTTCTGCTGAAAGGTCAAACTTGACATCTGCCTCTGAGACTCAAAGCCACGCTTTCCTCGACCTGTGCCTGCGCGTCCCCTGGCAGTTCGACATCCCTACTACATCCCAAAACCTGAAGCCTACTATAGGGGCAGGATGTTGGGGGATTCTTATAGTATAATTATTTAGGGACCATGAGTACCATAAGACCATAAGGGTGTAATAGCAGTTCTTATTCCGACCCCTACATAAACACCCTCTCCGAACCCTGGGCACGAGGTGCATGAGCAGCGACTGCGGGCCGAAAAGCTTCTGGTGATGGGGAGGGAAGAAGGCCTTCCTTGCATCGGACGTCAGAGAGCACATATGGGGGTTTCGGATATTCGGTGGCAGCTTATTGGGGCCCTTGTTATAAAGGGACCCTACTATTTGGGGATCTACATTTGGGGGCCCCCTATGAAAAAATTATGTTGTTTTCACCAACCCAGCTAGGCGTGAGGGGCACAGGGCTTCAGAGCTTAAGCGCTCACATCTCGGACGGACCACTGGCATGCTGTAGGGTCAAGGGCTGCCGGATCAAAAAACAAAAAAAAGAGGATCAGATAAAAATGAACAACCGAGGGTTTAGGGTTTAGGGTTTAGAAAGGTTTAAGGTTTAGGGTAAAGGGCCTAGGCTGGTTCATTTTTTCTTTTCGATCCCTTTCTACTCTGTTGTTGATCCTTTTTTTGGTTTTTTGTTGACCCCTATCCCCTATAGGGTCTAGGGCTCATCAGGGTCCGAAGGACGGTTATGAGTGTCGGTATGACCCTTGCAGTGGATGAGTCAACCAAGGGCAAAAGCCGCAACCTTGTGGATGACATCAGCTGCGGCTTCAGTACTGAAACAAATCGACGACAGACGTATATTGCTTGTTGTTGCAATCTTCTCGGAAACCAGGGCTTGCTACAGCGCTTTCCAGAACATGTGGTGTGCTGCACTAAAGTGACGCTGCAACCATGTAGCCTTATGCCAACATGTGACCGCAGAGTGTATGCCGACAACGTGTCACCCTGCAGCCCGCTTCAGCCTCTTGACTGGGATGCAAAACCCACGGAATCCTATCCGGGCAAAGATGGGAAACTAGCCCCTGCACACATAACAATCCTTTTGAAGGGACTGTGGCTAGGATGGCCCCTAAACCCCTCCGAGAATCTTCCAAAATATGATGCTCTTAAACCCAATCCAAGAAAATGTCAAATAATATCACAAGAGCCCGCCAATAAAAACCCTAAACCTAGTTAGCCCGTATAAACCTTTCCAAGCCATTCCAAGCCCGAGAGGCGTGGCTTTCGGTCGGCTCTCCTGGCGCATGGCCTCTGCCAGTTCGCGGGCTCCCGTGACCACGACTGCCTTCCTTTGGGTTGCAAGAGGTTTCGGGTTTAGTACACTTCTCAATTTGTGCGTCGGGTTTAAGGTTTCGGGTTGTAGGGTTTAGGGTCATGCAAGAGAGGCCTTCAGTTTGGTTTACACGGCGCTATCTCTGAGTCTGAGCAACTGAGCCCGACTGCACTGTGAACCAGCAGTTTGGTTTGGGGGCTCTTTATTTTCTGATCTTGGTGGCTCGCGTTCTGGGGCGGGTTCGCAGGGGAGAAATTCCTGGTGCCCAGCCTAATTCAATGCCGTTCGCTTTAAGCCCCAAATAAACTGAAGGAGCAGCACAAAACTACTCTAGGGCAACAGTATTGGCTGGCACGTTTTTTTGGGACTCTTTTGATGTGCCGGGCCTACTTCAGCGAAACCAGAAGTATCTTCGAGTCGACAAGCAGGCAGTCGACAAGCAGTTGGTGATAGATCGGAAGCCGGCTCACCGTACCAAAATCCTTTGAAATAACCCTGAATTTTGATTCTCTGAGAGGTGGCCTGTGGTGCTGGTTCCATGACGTTTTGGGTTGTGCAGGGTCTGTGTTTTGTAGTTCGCCCAACGCGGCCTGCCAAGCAGTAGTCCCGACGGCTTGTCATGTTGTTGATTATCTTTTTCAGGAGGGGCCCTCATGTCCTGGTTTTTCTTCCTCACAAAGGTTGTCGTAGAGTTGACTCAGCGCGTTCTCCTGCCTTATGGCCCACCTGGCCAGATAAGCCACTTCCACACCTGCCCCCTTAGCCGCCGGTGGGCTTGAAAAGGACGGAGGTCTGCCAAACGGGCCCAAACTTACCTCGGCTGGGCGGTGGGGTTTAGGGTTTAGGGTTTAGGGTTAAGGGTTTAGGCGATGAGCTATGCATGGGTCTACGGCTTGGTCAACGTCAAGGGTACGGGAGATTCACGTCTGGTCTCCTGGGGAGGCAGCTGGGAATGTAACCGATGGTGTAGATGAATTCTGTAAATGCCATTCTATCCCAAACATAGTGTGAAAGTTGCATCCAGAAGGAATGCTCTCTTGACCTCAGCAAAGGAACAAACAACACCCGACTTGCAAGAATAACCTACCCCCCCCCCCCCCCAACCCTCTCCCTCTCCCTCTCTCTCTATAAAATATATGACACATGTCTCCTGAGAGATGCGAGGAGTCCGAGGAGCACTCAGCTACACATTTTCACTCGGTTTCCGCCACCTAGCTCCCGCTTGAGCGCGGACTGCGCCGGTGCCCGGTGCAGTAACCGTTGCAGGAGTGCACCGCAAGGGCAACCACGACTACTTTCATTAACGCTTGAACCTAATTCGGCGCGGTGCATACTCAGATTCAGTATCCGCACAGCAGCATACATGTACAAAACATCGCAGATAGACGGAAATGGTGCATGCTCACATTGTGAAAGCACCGTGTGGTTTCCATGTGGAATGCACAGCATGAAACATCAAACATCAAACTAACTGCATAAAAAGTGAGATGGGAAACATCCGAAGCTCCAGAACCCTGAAAGAACTGAGAAAACGATCAAGGCTGACGTCTGAACCTCCTTTCCTTACTGGTTACTCTATCATCGTGGGGTCCCTGTTCGAATTCCCTGTTTAGGGTTTAGGGTTTAGGGTTTAGGGTTTAGGGTTTGAGAAACACAGAAGGGCAATTGGGGGTCGAAGGCGCTGCGGCTGTCCACTTGGTAGCTTGCCATTGTCTTCCTTAGGCGAAACTTCCAGCCGCCCAAAACAAATCATCGCCCGACTACCCTTACCCTTCCCAGCCAAAAACCCAACTCGAACTTTACAGGAAAGCGCTATGGACTTCTTCTTCTTCTAAAGAACTGTGGACTGCCCGACTGCCATCATTTGCTAGTTTGAAAGACTGTGCAAATCTGGGTCTGAGCGCTTTCCGGGTCTGGAGGCGAGTTGGCAAATAGGGGTTGGGGCTTCTGGTGCGTCATGCCCGGCTGTACCTCTTGACACGCCAGTTGCACAACCCCATTATAAACCCTAAACCCTAAACCCTTTTTTTTGAGCCCTAAACCCTAAACCCTGAACCCTAAACCCTAAACCCTAAGAGCTCTCTCTAAAAGCTGAGTAAGGGAAATCATCTTGCGAGCTATCCTTGGGGGCACGCTGTTGGAAGAGCGAATATGGAGATGACTGCGACAAAACCTCACATGCAGCTCAAGCAAGACGTCACCCTGAGTTTGGAGGAGGTCCCTTTTTGCAACTGGCTTGCAAAGTCACGCCAGGAACCCACCCCTGATGTCCCTAAACCCTAAACCCTCAACCTTTGAACTGCATTTGTTCCTGTGGAGTTGGGGCAGAGCGCGCGGTAGGGTGAAATTGTGGGGCTTCGGCCCCTCAACCCAAGAGAGCCCCAAGCACCGCGCCGCACAACACCTCCAAATGGCAACCTAAGCAAGGCTACAACCATGTAGAATTAGAGAAAACCCAACTTATAACCACACTTATATGAAGCTCCAAGCGCATCTGCCTGCGGCTGCATGCCCGTAGGAATCGGGTAGGACCTTCAAGCCCTGGACCCGGAGACCACAAAACCCCAAACCCCGAAACCCGCAAAGCCCTAAACCCAGAAACACGAACAACAAGACTAAACACACTAAAGCCCTGAACATTTAGACCCAACAACCGAAATCCTCATCAGGCGGCGGGTTCAGGAGCTGCATCGTGTCGCCGATGATGGGAAGCCTTGGTTGCAACTTCCTAAACCCAAAGCTTGCTTGTTCCGAAGGGGGGTTTCGGGTTTAGGGTTTAGGGTTTAGGGGAAGTATCAGGTTTAATTTAGGGTTCAGGGTGAATGAAGTTAGTATGAGTAGTTCCTGAAATGGGGGGGCGCAGGGGTGAAAGTAGCACCCCAGAATGCTTGAATGTTAGAGTGAGGAACTCCTGAAATCGGCACCCCTAAATCACACACACACACACTCACACACACCTCCATATGGCTTTATTTGGCCGCCTTAGCCCCCAACAGTCTCCAGACCCTGTGACTTTTATAGGGTCCTTAGTTGACGGGTTGGGGCTGACCAAGCTATTCTCAATGCCCGCTCTAGAACCTGACCCCCCCAACATGAAAAATTAAAAGGGTACGACGGGGCATCTTGAAATTTTCAGGAATCTAACCTAAACCTAAATCCTAAACCCCTTCCCCCTCTTTTGATTCCTGGACCCTAGACAAAGTTCAGGACTCGGTGACGGGGCTTTGCTTTGCACGGCGTCCACTACTGGGTACTGGCGCAGGAAAGGTGAAAGGATCTCTGAGCTGTGTATACTGACGGTTTACGGTTTTTGGGTTTCATAGTTCTGGGGTTTAGGGTTTAGGGAGAAACGTTGGATACTGCAGATGAAGCGGAAGTCGAAAGCCTCACACTGTTCTTTGGAGTCGGGCTGCATGGTCCTTCCAACTTCCAACTGTCGGACACGTGCGCAATTGCTTATTACACCACGCAAACGGCACAAGAAGCAGTAGGCCTCTTCAGTCAGCCCCCAACAACATGTCCAAACAAAGCCCCATCCTCATGTAGCGCGAGGCGCGCAGCACGCCGTACCGCAGGGAGGGGGTGAAGAGTCCTCAAGGCAAGAAGCCCTTTAAGGCCCAAGTATATACTATATATAGATACATGGATCCTTAGGGAAGGCCGTAAGTGCCCCTCTTTTGACCGGAGTGAGAAGAATAACATGGTGACGGCGCCTGTAAGAGGCCGTGTGACTGAACACATTCTGTGTTTACATTTTTCGCGTCGAGGGCTGAAAACCCAAGTAACACACACATTTTCGTGATCACCGCAGCATCTGCAGGGCTCGAAAACACTGAAGGGTTAGGTCATTTTTTCGGAAAAATGCATTTTCGCTCGAAGCCTGATCGGTTTTTTTCCAGGGGGTCCTTTTTTTTGAAGTTTTGGACGCGCTTTTTGCTCGAATTTGCGCTCTCGCCTAGGCACGGGCACGTTTTGCTCATTCCCCATGTTGAACTTTCAAATGGCGATTTTCGGTTCGGCAAGTTTTTTCTGTGTTATGGCTCCGGCAGTTCAGGTTCGAAATAGTGCTCTCGCCACAGCGCAGGCATGATTTTCTGGAATTGTGCTTTGGTTGTAACCCAACAGACTCGTGCACTGGATCCTGAAAGTGGCCTCAAGTTGATGATTCTTCAGGGTTCAAGGTTCTCAAAGTTTAGGGTTCAGGTTTCAGGATTTGGGTTTGCACTGCTTGGACTATTCGTTTGGGTTTAGGATCGTTTGTTTGTTGTGTTTTTTTTCTAGGGGGTGTCGATTTCGGACACATTTTTTGCTTGAAATTGCGCTCTCGCCTAGGCGCGGGCGCGTTTTGCTTATAAACCCCGAATTAAACAGCAAGGGTTTAGGCCTTTGGGGATTAGGGGTTCAGGCTTTGGAGTTGCAGGTGTGAAGTCCCAAGTCACGTGATTACCCCCCCGCCCCCCCACCCCCCCACCCCACCCCCCACCCCGAGCCCCAGAAATTGTGGTTACTCGCACGGCCTCTTAGAGGCGCCGTCTCCAATAACATACCAAGGACACTTATATAGCAGTGGCAAATCCGGCGTGGAAGCTGCTAATCCTCACAACAGCGTCAGCTGCAGTTTACGGTCATACGGTCACCCTAAACCCTAAACCCTAAACCCTAAACCCTAAACCCTAAACCCTGCTCAAAGCTGCAGGCTGCACTGCAGGCACCGCTATTGGCGAACCCCTCTCCAGCACCTCGCATCTGAAAGCCTCTCGCAGCAGCCTCTACAAGGCTTGGTACCTAAACCCTAAACCCTAAACCCGGCTTGGAGGTACATGGACCATGGACCATGCCGTGTTGGTTCCTGATTCTACGCGACAGTTGGCGTGACTTTCCTGCTGGCAATGTTATGCCTTAGACTTGCGAATCAAGTCTCCCTACTTGGAAGTTCGTGACTAGTTATAAATGGGGTTATAAGTGGGATAACTATACTTATAACCTTATACAGGGCCCTTACAACCCCACTTATAACATCTTCTAACTACCCATGAACCTTCAAGTATGATGCAAGCCCTTTTAAACCAAGCACGACTCCAAGCCCTCTAAACCCAAATGGCCCACCCCGTCCGGTCTGTCCGCGCGCTTGGCCACAGGGGGAGTTCAACCTCAGCTGGCTTGCGCAAAGGTGCGAGAAGCCCGCATAAGCCTATACCCGGAACTCCAAACTCGTAACCCCTCCACTCTGAACCTTCATTCCTGCTGGAGATTTGGCCCTATAAGCAGGATATGACGATTTTGCAAAAAGGGACAGCAACACGGTGCAGTAGACACGTGTACTTCCACCGCCTTCCACCCATCCCGGGCGGATGCTCTTTTGCCCAGGGAACAAAGCCGACGCCCCGAAAGAGACCAAGCGCCAGGAAAATCAGCAACACCTGCTTGGAGGTCTCTCTGCGTGGGAGTTATATGGGTGGCTGTCAAATTATGACCCTTTTGGGGTGCCCTGAATGTTAGGTGCCGTACTATTATAGGGATCCAAAAAGGGGCCATAATTTTGACAAACGCCTATATAGTGGGGTGATATCAAGCCTCCTAACTCTGCACCCAATACCGAACACCCAAAAACCCCAAAAAAACCGATCAACCCAAATTTGTATCTGGCCCCAACACCAGCGCTCCCCCGCAGCCACGGATGCGTACTCGTGGCCCCTTTGAGAACCCGGGGCTCTCTCAAGACCCCTAAACCCTGAACCCTAAACCTTCTAAACCCTTTTGGCATCAACCCTTTTTTAAATCCAGACTCAGAGCATTTATGCAAAACCCAATAAAGAAATTAGAATAGGGTTTTAGGGAGAGAAAAAGCGACCCTAAGGGAATACTATGAGTAATTCTTCCGGCCCCTGCCCTAAACCCCAAACCCGAAACCCCAAACCCTAAACCCCAAACCCTAAACCCGCAGGCCCTGTGCCCCCCCCCCGCCCCCCAGAGGGGCACCTGAAGGAGCGGACGCCGGCATGCGGGCCTTGATGGGATCTCCGCCATGGCCGCGAGGTGTGGGCTTTTCAAGAATAGCCAAAGCTCTTCTAGTCCCTTGGAAAGACCTCTGAACCTTTCTTAGGGTTTAGGGTTTAGGGTTTTGGGTTTCGGGTTTAGGGTTTAGGGTTTAGGGTTGCATGTCCTCACAGTGCCATTGCCAAGCTCACACCGACCGGGGATGGTGGTTCAAGCGCCTTGCCGCCTTAATCAGAAAACCCAGAAGAGATGCGAGGACTCAGGCCGTATGAGTTGTATTCTGGTAGATGGTGTTAGGAGTTTAGGGTTTAGGGTTTAGGGTTTAGGGGCCAGTGCTGCAAGGAATGCAGGAAATCTGAGGGGTCCGAGCCCGTGTGCAAGCACAGGATGTGTCAGAGCCTTGCAGGAGTTGGCCCCCAGTGCACCATCCTCAGTTGACAGTCACGGGATGTAGCTGTACACCTCCCATCCTGACATGCTGATACAGAGAGGATCTCGTGTCTTTGCTTGCGGAGTCTACAGACTACAGGTGTCGCCGTGATGTGCCCGTGCTAGAGAGAGGTATTGGTACCTGCACAGCTTGCAGGCAGCCTGCGATATGCTGTGACATGCCCATGATGCCCAGTACAACTTACGTGATGCTCGAAATGTGCAAACTCGTCCCGAACGAAGAAGGAACATATGAAGTGAAGGCGGGCAGCTTCATCGCCCGTTCGAGGAAGGCCTTCAAGGGACCTTCGGGCCTTAGAACACGGTCTGTCAACAGCAAGTACGCACACCAACCAGCGGATCTCTACTGCTACTGTGACACTTTGTGGTAGCCGAAGCTGTCTGCTCGGTTGTCTTGCGCTGTAGCCAACATATACCAGTGGCTGTTGCAAACATGTTTGTCTGACACTGCAAAGCTTGAACCCCATAAACCCTTTTTGAAACGGGCAACCCTAAACCCAAAACCCTAAACCCATCAATAGCCCGTATGAGGCTTTCAACCCCCGGTCAGCACGCTTGAGTGGCCTCGCCCCGGAGACCAAGCCCTCCTTGAAAGTTCAAAAGCCGAAGCTTCTTCAGGGATACAGACGCACACGCGTAACCCCTACCTTATAACTTCGAACTAGCCCTCAACCTGGTCACCTGTTGCATAAGATCCCGGCCCAACCGCCAAGAGCATCCCGGGCTGGCCCGCGGCAAGAAGAGCCTAGAAGTGAGTAGGGTTGAGGATTTGAGGGTTGAGGGTTGAGGGTTGAAGGCTTCAGGGTTTTGGGTTGGGGTTTGAAAGGTCAGGGCATGGGAGTCTGGGGAAGCAACATATCGATGTACAGGGTACGCAGTTGGCGCTTCGACTGTTACCATGCGCAGCTTGACCCACGCAGTTCTAGAAATTAAGAGTCTTCAGGGCAGTGTCACACACATTCTTACTTGGCTTTTTCTGGAACTAGTCCGTCTGTGCATGTTCACTTCAGAAGCACACTCGCCTCATTCATGCTTCCCACAAAGTGGGCTGCTTAGGCGAACATAAGCTGCGCGCGACAGTCACGAGTTGTTGCATCCTCACTGCACTTGGGATCCTGCCGTGACGCCCAGGTCTTCAGCCCACATTCGCATGTAGCTCCTGACTCTGTCTCTCCCTATCCTTCTCTCTCTCTCTCTCTCCCGCATCTCTCTCTCTCTCTCTATCTCTCTGTCTGTCTCTCTCTGAAACTCTCTGAAACTCTCCCCCGATTGGTGCGGAGCCGCATGTGTGTGTAGATGCAAATATGCCACGTGCAATATGAGATCCATGCTCTAGCACATAGACATCAACATAGGCATTGCATGGTATAGCCTTATCTAAAGCAAAATGTGGCTCATTTACTTCAGAAGATAACTGATGATGCAAGAGAGTATACTGCAATGAAATGCAATACAACAGAGTACAATACAACAGAGTACAATACAATAATGACATATTTATTAGTGCCTATAATAACTTATATGATCTGTAAAAGAAAACCACATCCAACACAAACTGAATAATGCATACCAGTATATGAGATGTTTTTTGGTGTAGGACCTGTATGTAAAAAACACACATAGCACCACATAAGTATATCAAAAAATCTTCAGAATATGCACGCGTAGCTACTATATCTATAAATACGTACATATATCTATACACACGCCGAAAAATGTATATACGCATACTATAGTAAGAACAACATATTTGTTGCATCTATTTTATCACTGGTGGTGGATCGCTAGCGAGTCGGTAGTCATATATAAGAATGCATGTATGCATACACCATAATACAGAGTTATGTGAACATAATCAACAACAACAGGCAGCAAACAACACACATAATGACAGTTAACAGTTAATAACATAGCAATATACATTATCCATTTTGTGAGTTGTACACAAGCTGGATCTTGCTACCCGCGAGTTGCAGTAATGGAATGAACTGATGCTGCTTCTGGCACGCTCAGAATGCAGAGCCCCTCCCCCCTTAAGCTCTTCCGTGCCCAGAACACTACAACATCCGAACAATCCCGAGGGCGAGGACTCCATATACACGCCTCACACGTAACGCAGGCTTCTTACCGAAGCAGCTCCGCTTCATCAGCGACTGCACGTGGTGGTAGCGAACAAAAGCTCGCACAAGACCTTCCAGGGTTTAGGGTTTAGCGTTTAAGGTTTAGGGTTTAGGGTTTAGTTTAGGGTTTAGGGCCCATTTGAGCTTGATGCAACTGGCTTAGTGTCTGAACCTTGCAGCCCTGTTTCTAACCATGCCGTGTGCTGAGCGGAGATACACACGCCTGAAAGCCTCGGACAGGCATCCAGAAAACAAACCTGGTCGCTCTTACAATTCTTCTGAGTACCCCCCACCACACCCCGTGGAAAGCCCAACCCTAAGCCCTAAGCCCTAAGCCCTAAGCCCTAAGCCCTAAACCCTAGACCCCAACCTTCAAGCACTGCATGGCGATTGCCTCCCGTGAGTGCTCGGGGTGGCTGGCAGCGGCTCGCTGCCAGCTCATGCAGTTCGGTGCCTTTTGTGGCTGGAGGGCTGCCACCGCCCAGACGAAGGCATGGAGATGCTTGGCTTCGGGCTTATACTATTCTACGGCTTCAGAAGGGTTCTAGGCACGGGTTTCACCGTTTGGGCCCTCAGACTGAGTTGGTTCCCTCAAGCAACCCTCAGCCAGGAACTACAGTACGTGACCCCACCATGGTTCTGAGTCTGAAAGCTCACATACCCAACATCGTCACAGAGTCCCAGGAGCTAAACTTCATCTCACATCTCACACACACCCCAAGGTAAGGGAGGCTGTCCAGATGCACGGTGCTAGTGCAATTCCTGCCACCTCACGTCAGCATTCCTTGGTCTTGCTCCGGCTAGCAAACCTCGTACCCAGCCGCCCATCAAGAGAACCACCACTGAATTGAGTCGGACCATCGTTCACCGTTCTTTGGAAACCAAGACTCCTGAAGTCAGCTGGGAAAAGCCTTTGACAAGCTTTCTGCCTGGGCAAACATACCGCTTACCCGAAACCCTAAAGCCTTAGCCGCACTGGCAGGGCCCCCCGGCTTTGCACCCAGCTGACGAGTCCTTTGATGACTCCTGGTGGCCGCGCGCCTGTCAAAATGCAGGGCTGTAGCCGGATGGGGCTGTTAGAGGGGGGAAGGAGGGACCCCTAAAAGGGACCTTTGATCTTATTCCCTGAAATAACCCCTTTATCATGTTCGCCCTTATCCTAACAGTCCTGGCAGGGACAAGAATAATGGCGTACGATCATTCCCTATGTTAGTATAGGGGGGACATCTCAAGTCCCTCTTTTAGTCCCTTGGTCGGGTTTAGGCCCCAGGCCTTTGGCAGCCTGCGGCTTGGGTTCAGGGTTTAGAGGGGCTCAGGGTTTAGGGTTTAGGGCAAGTGCTGGGGTGTAGCAGGGCATGGGGCAGAGAAGAACGTGGCTTGTGATTCGAAGCTGGTTCCTTTGGAAATTTGGAGGTGTCGGTCAAGTTACATCACTGTCCCCAATTTGCATGTCCTATGAGCCAGTCAACGGCGCAATCTTTTCATAGGTAGAAGTTTCATAAATCTCCATAGCGATATCATGTTCTATCGAGTACTTCCTCGACCCGGGGATACCCCGAACATCCCCGAACCACGAGGTTTCAAGCTCCCACCATCAGTTCCTTCCGCCGAGCATTGATGAAGTATGGTTGCTATGTTTGGGCCAGGGGCAGCTTGTCAAAGGAAACATAGACAAAACAGGCAACACATTGCAACACCTGATCTTTGGCATGTTTTGTCTTCTCATCCCCGTGGTAGCATGGCTTCTCGAGGAACAGGAAGGTTGTTCAGGGTTTAGGGTTTAGGGTTTAGGGTCTAGAGTTTAGGGTTTAGGGACCAGGGAGGTTGTTGCAAGTCTGGTAGGGAGGCCGCTTATTCATCGTCTTCGTCCTCACCGTCTTCGTCCTCCTCGTCTTCCTCATCTGCCTCGCCAATCTTCTTCGAGCAGCTGTAGCTGTGCTGGTCGGTGCACCCGTTGCACACGTACCGCTCGCATCTGTTGCAGTACACAGCATGCCGGCCACAGGCATAGTGCCAGCTGTCCGTGCCACAGCACATACATTGGATGCTCTTCCCTGCAAGGAAACATTCCCAGCAATGAGTGGAAAAATCTGGGCATTCGTCACAAGAGAGCTCGCTTTTCGGAAGTCCGCGCCTGGCACATTGATCACACCAAATCCGACGGCACATCTCGCACTCCAAGGCATTCAATTCAGTTGCCGACCACTCAGTACACTCCAGGCATCTTACCACATCGTTGCCGGCTACAAACGTGCTCAACTCATACAACCTGTCAAAGTAGTCTTTGGCAGTGTCGCCATCTCGATCGGGCACGGGTACACGCTCCCGGCGTCGGGTTTGAAAATCTCGGCCTGCATATGCTTGACAAAGTACTTCCCAAAGCTGCAACTGTTCAGCAGAAAGCTGGACACCTTTGCAGGTCGTCTCGGCTAGGGCCAGCTCGGGCCCATCCAAGAAGGGCAGGGCAAATTTCAAGCATCGAGTGGTCTCCATGGCGTGTTTTACGCAGACACTCCGATTCCAAATCCTATCTGCCAGTGAAGGTGTATTAAATTATTCTTCTTTAAATATTATTAATTATTCATTAAGTATTAGTTATTTAATCATTAATTAACTAGTAAATCTGGGATGCACCTTATCATTACGCAGTGTGAGCACTGCAGGGGGGTATGGAAGGAGACAGGTCTAGAGGGAGCTTCGACCTTCGAACATGACCGCAAGTCTCAACTGAACTCAGCTTGGACCATCTTTTGTCTGAGTTGCAACGGCAGGAAGGACTCATGCACATGGGAGAACATGACAAGACCTTGACTCACCCCACATGACATGGAGCGGAACACATGCGAAGAGCAGTGTCATTCAGTCTACGATTCATCATCATCTCATTTCATTCCAGTCAGCCCACGAATTAGCAAAGCCTCAAAAAATCTTCAGTGACATCTTATTACTTTCGTTCGGTTTAATGAGCAACTTGAATTTGCGGTCCGGCCCTGGACTGTAATCCCTCAGCGCTGTAGTCAACTTTGCGAGACTGGCGTGGACATCGAGTGGCTATGAAGATGCGGTGTGGCTGTGTCATTTTTGTGGTGACAATGATGAGGAGGGGGTCGGCGGCGACGACGTCCATCGTGACCATCATCATCACCCATCCTCCTCCTCATCCTCATCTCATCATTATCGGCGACAACAGCACGCGAATGATACACGTACTGTCACTGTTCAAATGCAAAAGTTAGCCAGGAAGCTTTGCATCAGCATCCAAACAAGCCTCTGAAATGTCTGAGAGTACTCATGATTACAAAAAATGGTCGTGCGGTCATACGTGGTCATACTTATGGTACTGAACCTTGTTAAAATTCGTTTGCAGGGCATTCGGGATACGGGTGCTCGACCATCCACAAGGCAAAAGCAGTCATAAAGTTTGCCTCTGTTGGTCTATTGGGTGTATCCCTATTTTGGGAGAAACGTCCATACAAGGTCACAAGACAGGAGGTGTCATGTCCCCCGAAC